ACGCACACACACACGCACACAGGCACACACACATAGGTGCACACACAGGCACATGAACACACACACAGGCATACACAGGCACATACACAGAGGCACATGCACACACATACAGAGGCAGACCCACACACCAGCACACACACACACACACACACACAGGCACACACACTTGAGAGGACTGCTTAGGTACATGCACACACATACAGAGGCATATACAGAGGCACATGCACGCACATAGAGGCACACGCCCAGGCACACACTCAAGCACACACATAGTTACACACACAGGTACACTCAAACACAGACACACACAAGTGCACACACACTCACTCACACACCTTTTGTTGGAGACGATGGGGACTCTCCAGCCCTTGATCTGGTTGAGCTCGGTGTCTGAGACCTCAATCTGCAGCGGGAGCCGGGGCACCCACACGGTCACCTCCAGAGGACTGCTCAGGTGCTGGTAGGTGAAGCTGACTACCGCGTTTACCTTGCCTTTCATCTCCTTCCCGTTGACGAAGATGTAGTCACACCTGTCGGAGACCTGGGAGGGCATGGGGAGAGAGCGGGGGCCAGTGAGCCTCCGCAGGACCTGTGGCCCGGAGCACAGGCGGGCACGGGGCTGTCGGGGACCGCCCTGGGAGGAACAAGTTCCTGTGCAGGACAGGCACAGGCTGCTGCTTTTGCCAGTATGTGGCAGACGCTGTGACGAGGATGTGGTGTGGGCCATTGTGGATGTGACCAGCTAAGGACCTTCTATCCTCAGCTCTACTGGCAAATGAGCAATTAGCAAATGAAATCACCTAACATCACATGTACATAAAGGGTACGACCTGATATCCTGGTAAAGAGGTGACCGTGAAATGATGTCACAACCCAGCTAATTCACACCACCACCTCACAGCGATCTCTGGGTGTGTGTGTGAGGACATTTATTACCTACTCTCTTGGGGAACTTCAGGCACACAATACGGTGTTGTTAAGGACCATCACCCTGTGGTACCTGCTGGACCGTTGGGTCCCCATAATGCCACGTAGCTGGAGTCTGTGCCTGACCCAGGCGCCCACTCCCCTCTGCCCAGCCCTGGCAGCCTCATTTGTACCTTCTGCTTCATGAGGTCGACTGTGAAGCAGATTCCACGTGTGAGTGAGTGGGTGGGTGAGACCCTGTGGTGTCTGCCCTGGGTCTGGCTTATCCACTCGAGGTCCCCCGGGCTCATCCAGGTGGTCCCCAATGCTGGGGTGTCCCTCCTCAGTGGGCTGAGCCACATGTGCCCTGCTGTTTCTTCAGTCCCCTCAGTGGGCGCCGAGGCTGCTCCACGCCCTGGCTGCTGTGCAAGGTTCAGGATCTTGAGATGGGGACTCCCTGGAATATTGGGGTGGCCCTAATCATCATGCAGCTTCTCCTGGGGGGGAAGATTTGGTGCCAGCTGCAGAGGGGTGCTGTGGCCCTGGGCGGGTTGTCTCTGGCCAGCTGGAAGGTGGAGGGAGGGTCCAGGGAAGAAGCTGGGGAACCCTGGGGCCTCACAGGGAGCAGAGACAGACACCACCACCCCAACCCTGGGAAAGCCATGTCTGCCTTTGGCCTTGGAATGACAAGGTCAGGGTTTTTGGTGGCCCCAGGAGCTAACCTAGAGAAGGAGGGGGCTGGGCCGAGGAGCCAGGAGAGCATCCGTCCCAGGCTGGCTGGCCGGGCGAGGAGCGGGAGGGGAAGAGTCAGCGAGACCCTGAGGAGACTCAGGTGTAGAGCACCTGGCAGAGGACAGGGTTCCGGGTATCCTCTCTCCTGATACCTTCTGGGTTCCCATTTTTTAAAGGATGGGAACCTCTTTTGGCACTTAAAGGGGCATGAAGAAAAGCAGAGCAGCAATTATTGGGGTTGTTCCAACATCACAGAAAGCATTTCCTGTGAAGGCCTTTCATCTGGGTACCAGGCGTGGACTCCACACACACAGGGGGCCAGGAGCTCAGCCTCCGGGTGGTGACCGATGCCTCAGAGAAGGTGGGCCAGCTCCACTGTGAGGTGCAGGAGTTTGCCACCCTCAGTCCCTGCCCAAAGCAGAAGGACTTCAGTCGGGTTGCAAAGCACGTGCACAAGGCTGTCTATAATCTGGGGCCTGGCCACGGTCCCTGCTCCTGACCCAGGTCACTTCCCTTCCATCTCCACCCCAGGCTGAACCGTCACAGAGGAGCAGATTTCTTGAAAGAAATAAAGACGGAAGGGAGAGAGGGAGGGAGAGGGAGAAAGAGAGAGGGAGGGAGACAGAGAGAAGAGGGAGTTGAGTGACAGGTGTTGTTTCCTTGCTGGTCCAAGGAGGGACCATCAGGAGCTTCGCCTTCTCCTCACCATGGTACCTGCCTGGTGTTTAAGGTGATGGTGGCCATCCGTCTAGATTCTCAGAGCCTGGGGTCCCCTGAGCCTCCCTACAAGGCCATGAGGGTCAGGGTCCAAGTGCGAGGTCTACCTTCCTCCTGCCCAGTAACTGGGACTTTGTTGGGGTTGTTTGTCACCAGCCCATTGTGACTGATACACCAGGCATAGACCTATTCCGAGGGCTGTACTAATAAAAATAGAATGGGCCAAATTAGTGGGTTTAGGAGGTGGGGGGAGATCTCCTAAGTGAGTGAGTAAGGTGCATGAAGACAGAGGAGGCAATGTGGAGCTGGCTTCCAAGATTCTAATTGTTGCAAACTCCGAACAAGCCAAGAATGTGATTGGAGTCCACAGCGTGGGGCAGAGGTCTCCGTCATAAACACATCATCACTGAGGCCGGGGTAATGGGAGCCGCCCTCCTCATGCTAAGGACTTTCTGCTGAGTGACAGAGCACAGGACCCACGTCCATAGGAGTGGGGAGGAGAGTGGCAGCCTCTGCATGGCCTGGTGGGGTGGGGAGGCTGGGAAGAGCCTGAGGGGAGGTGGAGGTCAGGGAGGCGCAGGGAGGCTTGGTGGTAACGGGCAGCAGCGTCTCTGAGCTGTGCACCTGGAAGATGAGGACACGTGCCTGGGGACACCTGGATCATGTTTTAAAAAATTTTGAATATTATTTATTTATAACTCACAAGCATTTCATCTTTAATGACCTTGGTATTCCATGTGTTTATCAATGTATTTCACTGTTAGCTTTTTCAACGTGAACTTGTTTTACTCAGTAGCACGTTCAACACTTGGGCACCGGCGTGGGACACAGTGGCATGCCAGCCCGCGCCCTCTCCCCTTCACCTCCTGCACACATAGCAAGAGATAAGGCTGAAATCACAGAGCTGGCCTCAGAATGAGATGGCTTTACACAAACACGGAATGAACTCGACATAAATGTGGCTGTGATGAAGTCTAAGGAGGAGGGTCCTCTTCCCAGGTGACGAGGACCAGCCGTCCTGGAAGGGAGAGGTACATGGTCAGAGCAGCTTAAGGTTCGCCCACGAGGACCAGCGGAACCTGTGCACCCTGCCTGGGTCTGCAAACCGACTTCACCCAGCAGAGGTTCAGAAAAGCCACCAGGGAACCCTGGAGCTGAGCCATGATGGGTGACAGCCCTGGGGAACTTCACAGGTGAGAGAAGGGAGGCCGTGGAGGGAGAGAGAGGGGGAAAGTGAACTTTTAAACATGAATCTCACTGTGCATACTCCAGGCACACCGCGTGCCTGGGGACTGGTGGGAGAACAGTCACTGTAGCAAGGCACAGGCCACGTCTGCCCTCACAGAGGCACCAGGCTCTTGCTGTCCCTGTGGTGGGAGCTCAAGTCCACTCATGGTGTGGGAATATGAGTGCAGCTCCATTGCCCTACAGTGCTCAGGGTGGACCCCAGGTGTCCAGTCTGTTCTCCCCCATATCTGCCCTTTGTGTCTCTAACTCTTGGCCCTGAACCCCCCCCCTCTGCAGCCTTAGCCCCCTCCCTGCCTCTGGTCTCTGAGCCCCTCAGGGAGCCGAGCGCACGCGCTTCTGCCAGACTCACAGACACAGCACTGCAGATGAGCAGAGGAGACCTGTCTATCATATCTGGTTAGAACAGGGCTGGTGGTACCTGTCAGTAACTTATTAACTGCAACTTTCCAGTGCTGATAATGTGAAGGGATGATCTATGAAAGCTCTGGGCCCCCTTTGTACTCTGTGCCCGGCCAGCTGCTCTGTTCCGGGACGGAGTTAGAGTTAATATTTCCAACTCGTGTGCATAATCCGGCACTTATGTGAATTTAATGCCATTTCCTTCATTTGGGTTTAAATGCTGGATGAATTTAAATCTTAGTTAAATATCACCCATATTCATGGTACAATTTATGTTCTTCTGATATTTTTCTCTCTCCACTTTTTTTTTTTTCCCAAGTGCAGAAGCTAAGGATATGGAAATTCCTCTTTTGCCCTCAGGCTTGACAGCAGTATCAGCCCCAGGGAGGCCAGTGTCCGGTCTGGCCCTGGTGGCCCCTCTTGTGGTTGGTCTTCATCCTGGACTGAGGCAGAGCATTGATAACGCGGTGGCAGTGAGCGCGGCAGCAGCTGATGACGCAACGTCCCGGGTGGACACTAATTTCCACTTTGCTAAGTCCCCACAGCATGTCCACAGGTGCTATTGCCCTGTTTCCAGATGGGGAAACTGAGGCTCAGGGCTAAGCAGTCACGAGGGCCTGATCTCCTGGGCTAATTAATCAGAAGAGAAGTCTGGCTCGCTCTTCCCGGTGAGCTTTTTGAGAAAAGGTTTCACTGCACTCAGTGGCTTCTAATAGAGGACAGGAAACTCTCTGCCCAGGGAGACGTGCTGTAGAGAAGATGCTGGGCCAGGAGGATCTCTGGGAGCAGGCAGAGACAGGCTGCAGATGTGAGGCCAACCCTTGGGGTCAGTGGAGACCACAGAGGGAGTGAGAGCCAACTTGAGCCTGGAGTGACCCTAGAATGGTCTGAATCAGGTCCCCCCTCCCACACTCGTATGCTGAAGCCCGGGCCCCCAGTTCCTCAGGATGCAACTCCACTTGGAGGAAGGTCTTTTAGGAACAGAGTGAGTTAAAATGGGCCACTGCCCTGGGTTCTGGTTCAGTCTGACGGGTGTCCTTACAGAGAAGAGGTTAGAAAACACAGAGATATGAGGTTTGCACACAGTGAGAGGGGCCGTACCCCACCAAGGAGGGTCCTCAGAGAAACCAGCCTTGCCTGCCCTCAGACTGAGTCTTCAGCCTTGGGAGCGGGGTGGGAGGATGGGTTTCTATTGCCTGAGGCGCCAGCCTGCTGCCGGCTGCTGCTGTGGCAGCCCCGCAATCCAGGCAGCGGAGGCCACAGAAGAACCTTCTTCGGCTCTGTCTTTGTGGCTGTTGGCCCTTTCAGGAGAACTTGCCAGCAGCGTGGAGAGGAGGCTGGCTGGGGCCTCCTCGGGGTGGCAGTGTTGGTGGAGTCTGGCTTCGGGAACATGGCTCTCTGGAAACCTGGCAAGAGCCCACTGTGGCCCCTCGGTTGGTTCTTGGGGTAGCAGATGAAGTAGGGGATCCTCCAACACCCACTGTACGAGTGAGACACGGGCACCCTGAGATGAGGTTGTGTGCTCAAGTTCACAAGGCT